GAGAGGGAGAGAGGGAAGGTAAAGGAGAGGGAGAGGGAGAAAAATTATATGTAATACATTTAGAAAGCAGATAATCACTCATGTCCGCTCGGTCAAAAATCATAGAAAACCCAGTTTTAGTGATCTTTTTGCCTGTTTTTTCTTGATCGAACTGATAAAGTGTTAGACGCCTTGTCGATCCTCTTTTAAATGACACCAAAACTCGTGGTAAGGTGCAGATACAGATTGCCATATTGCATGGCCTGGTATGAGCTACATTGCGCAACGTTTCCGCACGGATTCTGCACGGATCTCATGGTTAGCAACATCATTATTACATATTATGTATTGCAGGCGTAACACAAATATACTACATACATATTGAAATAGCAGAAGAGCCATAAACGTTCGTGCATTACACAGGCTAATCTTGGACATGCACTAACGTTCATCAGCGGCGTGCAAAGCAATTAACGATTCGTTGCTGTGCGCCCAAATTGCAGCTCTCCAGGCAGTTGAGGGTTCCACGCGCATCTGTTTGTTTTTTTAATGAAACGGTCTCATTCGTGGATGTATATAGAACGACGAGTCTCTGTTTCTGTGCAGAGCGTGCGGCGACTACTATGTTGTTGAACATTTGCCGTGTCTGGTGGGTTTCTGTGTGTGCGTACAGGTCGCCGGTTTGAAAGTCCATGGCCAGACGTCTGGAAAGTGTCGTTGTGTGCGAAAGATATGCACTATTAGGTGGGAGTGCACAGTCTCCTATGTTTAATTCATGGTGATATGTGACGTTGTTTTCTTTAAGTGGAGCGGAGTCATGCGACGAGTTATGTTTCATGGTCAGAGAGGATGTAGCTGGACTTTGATAATGGATGTTCCAGTTTTATGCTGCCATTGGGATCTTTTGTTTGACCGTTATGATGGACACCGTTGAGCAGGGTGTTATCATCAACGTGTAACCAGCGTAAATCATGTTTTTAAAGAACAGGGACTGGTGTTTTGGTGCTCTGTTTTTGTTTCGGTTTTGTGCGCTGTGACATGGCGCGGTTGAACGAAACTTAGAACGCATTTACACCCAACCAGATGGGACTGAACTAAATTACATGTATTCAAGCTCCACCCCGCCACCATGTCAACATGACAACGGTATGCCGCGTAAATAAACTGAGCGAGCGTCGTGCACAAATTACAAAGCAAACAGACCAACTCAAAAACAAGTGTGGCGTACGAACGAATGCAAGAGGCCTTTCCTCGCCACGGGCGCAGCCAGATTTTTCTTAGTGGGGCTGGGGTTCTGCGAAAACTCATAAGATGACCGAAGAAGAACGCTCGTTGTACTGTCCAATGTATATTACAAAGTCCACACTGATAGGTGTTTTTTGTTTTGGACCACCAAGGAAGCCAAAATAACAATGAAAAAGTAAATCGCTGTGACCAAAAAGGCCTACTGAAATCAACTGAAACCAAAAATAAAGCAAGCTGAATTTATCAACATTTTTGTGAGTCAAAACTCAAGACACGAATCACGATCTGAATAAGATTTCAGTCGTTCAGCAAGGGACATGAATCGCTGGCAGGGAATCGATTCTCAAAGAACTGAATCGATCACAGGCCTGCTTGAGAGATCATTCAGGTGGGGAGAGTTGCTCCCCGCCGAACTATGGCTCGACCCGTGATGAGGAACCACACCCAGCGAATAACGCATCTTATAATTCCAAGGCGTCCCATGTAACGAAGAAGGCCGCTCGCCAAAGTCGTCCGTGGGGTTGACCGACGTCGAGCAAAGCTAGTATACTCGTGGGAGCCAGCACTCACAAATCCAGTACACTTGTGACACGTAGTACTCGCAAAGCTAGTATACTTGTGGCAGCTAGTACTCACAGAGCCAGTACACTTGTGACACGTAGTACTCGCAAAGTTAGTATACTTGTGGCAGCTAGTACTCACAAAGCCAGTACACTGGTGACAGGCAGTGCACACAAAGCTAGTGTAATTGTGGTGGCTCGTAATCACAAAGGAAGCACACATTAGAACAATTGTAATATTTAGCAAGTATGTCAGCTGTCCTTGCCAGCTGACGTTTTGCCTTCGGTCAGCTGACCTTTCTCGGATAGCTATTTAGAAACAACCAACCTACAGAAATGAAATGATATGGGGAAAGTCCTACATTCAGAACGAAGTATGGTGGCTTTTGTTATAAATTAGTTTGATTTAGGGCAGCTCTATCAATTGACCTTGGGGCTGGTATTTCGTCAGCATTTACACAACGGCAGCCGTGATGCATCTATTCATTTCCAAAACGAAGGAACAAGCATCAGCTCATTCGGCATTGTTTTCGTCCACGCTGCCAGCACCACGGTGTCTGGTAGGAGTTTCTCTCCGTGCTCTCGTGCTGGCCGTCATACCTGTTCTACTGATGTCCTGAAGAGCATGCAACTTCAAACTATGTGGGGTCAAATTGACCCCATGTAGGTTTTTCCAAAATATGTTCCCAACGGCACGGCGTAGCCGCGCCAAATTTTGCCTAGTTGTTGACAATTAAATAGCAGATCGTTTGAAATCAGAAATTTAGATGTACCTTGTAAAGTTGCTGATCTATGGCAGGTCAAAGCCAGGCCATGGTTTTAGCAAAGTCAATTTCTAGGGAATCGTTCAATCTAACGCGACAACGGAGTGTTAGACGAATCCATGCATGTCTGATATGCTTTCTTAGGCGGCACAAGAATTGAATGAACAAAAACATTGACCTAAGGTCGATTATGAAGGTCAGACTAAGGTCAAAACCAACCTGTTTTATAACTCTAGGGCTTGCGCTATGGGATAGCTTTTGGTGCTCATTTAAAATTTATTGATAGGGTGAACCGCATAATGCACCTTCCATGAACTTCTTAGAGGTCAGGATAGGTCATTGACGTAAAATGACACATGCCAACATTTTATTTTTAGGAACATACTGCCTAACGTATCTTTGTCGCTTATTCAAATGCAAAACTCAGAGCAGTCTTGTTTGATTTTGCTCACCATAAGTTTCAAAAGGGCAGACAACTTTACTGACCTCAAATGAGCATATGACCTTTTGCTGAGAAAAAGTTATCTAGGTTCTGGGGGCATTTTGGAGATCAACCTGAAATTGGACCTTGCTGGATCTTATTTGACCCGGAAGTCATAACCTAGATACCTCAAACTTTGACCTAAGTGAGTTCACGTACAGGTCAACACATCCTGTGTATTTGGTGTCTCTAGCCTTCTTAATTTCTGAGATCCCAGGGGGCCAAATTAACCCCCACCCGAGGTAAACTAACCCTCACCCAAAGGTATTCAGCCGGCCACCCAGGCGCGTGTTAATTGAAAACGAGCCACATCATATACGTATGACGAAATGTACATGAACGAAAAGCATAGTCTTCTGACCATAGCGTGACCAAGACAATATTCAAGCAGCCGATCTTTTCTTGGTTCACATCCACGCGCAAAGTTCACCACAGTACTGGCACGCAGTGCTCTGGCGGACTTTTCATGGGTATGCGTGACAAGAAAAGACCATTTGTTAGGACATGGGAGCTTGAGTATATGTATGAGTGAAGACGAGCAGCAAATATTACACTATGAGCACTTGAGCAGGTGCTAGAGATCTTGGGTAGTTAACATTCGTGTAATTTTTTGATAACCCACCCCCACCGCCCCCACTGCAGCCCAGTGCCATTCCTGCGCAGTCACGTGGCCGCCCAGGTCCAGCAATGGACTGTCTTCAGGTCTGGCGGCCCGTCGACCCCGGGTCGACGCTAGTCTGTTTTGGGGCAACAAACGCTTGTCTTGTATTTTGCGACAGTCCTGACTGTGACTAGTCTGAACTGCAGCAACCGTAAACAGACATTGACGAAGCCAGGACTTAAGCGCACAATCTCTCGGTATGAACAATTGTGCGAACACTCCAAATGCTGCTCTCTGCAGTAAATACCGCATACTCCTCTGGGGCCGTTGGAAGCTTCACACCATAAGTCGGCGACTAGCCCTCTTCCGTCCTTCCTCTGTCCTGGTACGAGGATACTCGAACCACTATTAGGTTGCTTGCGTTTTAAGATAGCTACATGACATTTAATTGGTCTCCAAGACAGCTATTTCAAACAAACGCATGCTCCGTAAATTCCTGTCTGGTACATGTAAGGCATGTTCGACCAAAATTTGCTACGCAATAAAACAATGGGCGTACAGGACATAAAGTCTTTGGAATCACGAAAAGAGACTGAGAGAGACATAGAAGCATGGACATCGAGACATCGAGGCATAGAGACATAGAGACAGAGTTATATGGTACCACAAGACTGTTTTGCTGTATCCTAGAGGCGTCGTATCGCAATTTGCAGATGCCCATGTTTTAAATTCTGTGCATAACTGGCAAGCGCCAGGAAATATCCCTTCATGATCGCTCACGTGGTTATTCAACTAAAAGAAGAAAAAGCGGGAAAAATCGTGATATCAGTCAAGGTACCAAACCCACTAGTTATCCACGTGGTTGTCAGCTATCAGTTAGCCTTGCGTCATACCTACCGATACCTACGGCTTCCGCGCTATCAACGCATGGGTCAGTGCCAATGCTTGCCAGTCAAGAAAGGAGCACCAGGGAGAAAAAGCGATAATTTTTTGCATGATTTGGTGTCTCTTTGCTATCCATTTGGTGCGAATAGGAGTCAAACCATTCTTCGCATCACCAACCGCCTTTCCTAAGCCAACGCAATAGAGAATACGGCAGTCGTGTTCAGTGACAGTGTCGGCGGCGTTGGCTGTCGCAGCCTCGCTGGGTGTGCCGGTGTGCGGCTAGCACACGGACGGATCAATGCCCCCTCTGGTGTGGTGCGGCAGCGGCCGACTGACGAGCGCCCCCGGCCGTTGGCACAAGCCGCCGCCAGCTGACGGGCCGCCTCGTCGATCTGGGGGTGGTGCGCGGCGCGACCGGCGCGGCGCAGTGCGGCTGCGCGCCGTCGTCGGCCAGCTGATGGCCGTGGGCCGTCCCTGTCAGATGTCGGCTGGACCCGGCACGGACTGAGCGTTGCACCAGCCCCACCATGGAGACAAAGAACGGCACGCCAGCCGCGCCCGGCGCAGAGGAGGAGGAGGAGCAGGACTGGGACATGCCGGTGCCCCCTGACGGCGGCTGGGGCTGGATGGTCGTCTTCGCCTCCTTCATGATTCACGTCATCGGTAAGTGGCCTGGCTACGGACTGCAGCGCACAGCAACTCCCGCTGACCTACTTTCTTAATTAAACTGGAAGTTTGCGACGTTGCATACGCAGCGTGATTTATGACAGTTTCCAACAGCTCACCAAAACAGAAAGAGAGGCCGCGGCTTGGGGCGGAAAACGTTATATCAACTCTTCATATTTTTTAACCTTTTTCAGTAGTTAGATAATCCTTCACAGCAATTCCTGTCCTGGGACATGCTTACGGCATGCTCAAGCATGTCACAATATGGTTTTGTGCTATGAAAGGGCGTCCACACATTACTCAACTTGCCATTGAATAGAAATTGCCAAAACTGCGGTTACGTACTTTTGGTTACTTTTCAACATCTTCCCCTGGGTACGCTTTATTATGGTTATCAAGGCCTTTAGGCCTTAAAAAACTGTTTGCATTCGAGCACGGTTCGCAACCACACCTGAACGTAACGTTACAGCGTTCGAAATATTCCCTTTCCTTTGTTACACCCGTTTGCGCTCCATTAAAACCCCCTTACCTCCATGAGCTATGCAATTTACGGACGGCCTCAAACGATAATCTTGTCGGATATTACTTATCAATTATGTCATTGGTGATAAAAGACGAGCACGGCAGCCTGCTTTCACAAACACAATCTAAAAGGTTTGGATAGGTGACTGGTGAGTACTCATCAACCTGACCTTTTGCGTAATCTAATCGTTTTGAAACCAGTTGTACGGTTGCATTGAATTTGGGTTCACAATGAGCCGAAAATTTCACTTTCGGTCTTTTTTGCCCGGCCTAAATGCAATGCAGGATTTTTTGCGTCTTGCGATACTTCAACACGACCGCCCGGTGCCAGCTACCAGCTGGCCTTTCCATGCTGTTCGAGCCTAACAATGTGCCTTTCCTGGGATTGACACCCTGTACTGCTGTATCGCGAGTCCAGCATCTCTTCCATGAGCATGGAGACGTTCCAATAGGATTACATTATCTTGTAATAAAACACGGTGGAAAACTCATCTGAGTTGACATGGACTGAATTTCAGGGCTTCCAAATCCCGGTCATATGTAATGCTTTCATGGTGTATATGGCGAACCCGAGACACATGAGGAGTTTGCGATGCTCCAGTAATCTTGAAAAACTTGTGATGTACGCGTGATTTATCTATACTACTTGATTGATTTCTCAAGCTGTCTGCTGATGTTTTATACAGTAGCTGCAATATGGCTGGAAACGTGAATTTGCAACATCATTATAACACGAGACGGTTTCGAAGACGAGACTATCTTCTAGTGAAATCGCCATCCTTGTATGTCCATGTCCTACAAAACCGCATAAGCATTGGTAGGGTCAGGTCGGACAGGGTCGGGTCGACCCTTGAAATACAGTCTCAATACTTGTACACTTCGTAAAAGCTATGTTAGCAGCTTCGTGGCTCGCTTGCAATTATGAGCGAATAGTTTAAATGCGCTGATTTTGTTTTGTTTCAAAGGCGGTGGAAGAGCACCGCCTTAACACGAACAGTCTCCGATGATGTTAGCCTGATAAATGGATCGCTTCCCCCGTGTCTTGGTACGCTCCAAACGCCAGCGTCGACGTCTGGTAGCAGGTTTATCGGCCCGCTGTGCTCTGTTGTCTGATTAGTTGGTCAATGGCTTTTGTCCGCCCGCCATTGACATTTTACCGATATTTTTCACACGTATTCTAAAAAAGAGTCGCCCTGGACTGTCAAGCGTTGGGTTCATCTAGGTAAACGACCACGCAGACTAATGGTGAAGTAGTTTGGGAATTCTTTTCTTTACAAAATGGACTGACACCGCCGTCCCAGTCCGGGAAATGTGGCGTTGCTCCTTCAAGCAACCAAGCGACATATTCCAAAACATCACGCTGCCATCGGTGGAGACCCCTTTTCCGTTGGAGATTTCGGCCCCTCCCATGTTTCCGAGAAGAAAATGGGCCACATCCGGAAAGAAACCGCTTAAGGCGCATTTTGGGGAAACTTTAGTCAATTTTACTGCTCAGCCTTCAACTTATTTAGTGAAACTACACCACTGCATGCCTCACTTCATCCCATTCACCCCAGGCCGACTGGCGGCAGAGTCGTCTGCAGATGCTGCAGTTGATCCTGCCTGGACGTGGACCTCAGCCGTTGCAGATTAGAGGTGCTACATTTAAGCCCCCGAGCCTGCAAAGCGCGGGTAAAAAGCTCAAAGTGGGGTGTGAGTTTAGATTGCAGCAGCTCATCTTTGGAATATCCGCTGCGGATTATGCGGTCGACACATGTTACAAACTGGAGGAGTAGCACTTTTGAGCCTCCTTTTTACCAGCACTTTGCCGACTTGACATCTCTAGTCCGCAACAGCTGAGAACTTCAGAACGTACAGTGGGTTCTGCAGCCAGTCTGCAAGATGTGAACGGAACTGTAGCCGAAGTAATTTTCGGAGACTCATCCAATGTTCAATTTCTCTCTCCCGCCATCTGGTCTCGGGGGAATGCAACAATAATCTCGGTCCTGAAAAAGTTCTTCGCTCTGACACAGGATTATTACTTGCCTTGGATGCCACAAAGCAGCGACGCTTGTTGAGAGCGATGTCCATCACCTTTGTCGCCACTCTGGCCCCTGCTGCTGAGACACATCGAAGGAACAAGGCTATGGGTGAGACTGTCTTCAAAGGACTAGCTGTTGCTGCTCCTATGAACTCGGCCATTCCTGGTGCAGCGTTCCTCTTCGTAGGGCGCATTCCTGTGATGTTCATCGGTGGGTGCGTCAGCAAGAAGTTGGCCGGTAGCCAATCAATGTCAATGCTCCCGTGTCCTCTCTCGACAAATATTATTCAATTCACCGCCAACGAACCCGGCTTACAAACATGCCATGAACTGTGAGATCTAATTAGCGCAGACTGCATGGTAGAACGCAACAGTCTGGCCTGGCCTGTCGCCAGGGCATTTTGTCGGCCCCGATCGGGACTAGCGGCCGTCAGCGCCGCGTCACCGGCCGGTTTTACGCATGCCGTGTCCCCGAGCTTGCGCCCCGCTGGCGGCTGGCTGGCACGCGTCCAGGTCGGCAGCTTTCTGGCTCTCGAAGCCACCGGGCGAAGCGCTGACGGCGCGTTCCGCGGCAGATCAGCCGCCGCCGCCGCCGCCGCCGCCGCCGCCGCCGCCGCGCCGCCTTTGTCGCCGAGCCAGACAAAGCGACACGGAGCCGGCAGACGGCACGCGTGCAGCGGCCCCGGTGTGCTCACTGCTTCGGCGCGTGGGAAGTGCTCGCCCGACCGTTGTGTGTTGCGGACGGCGTGCGCGCCGCGGTCCGAAGCGTCCTGGCACTCAGGGTAACGACAGGAGGTGCGCCTGCTGCGTGTCACGACCAAAGGCGCAACCACGCAAAGGGGGCCAAGGGCGACACTCGTGGTACTTATGCACCCCAGCCGCCTCACATTAGCTCCGTAAAGATTGATGCGTCACCTTGCAGTCGAAAACTCCAGTGTTGTTTTAGAGGAACGCTGAGCTGTTAAAACTGGCTCTACCAAAATAAATTGCTGGAAAGACTTCGACCCCGTGAACGCAATTCAATAAAGCCGGGAGAACGATATCCAGCGTCGTTCGTTTCGTCGTGGTACTCACCACGCCCAATGCTCCTTCACGTTGTTCCTCAGATAACGGAATGGGACCCGTACACACCGGACCGGCCCGTATAGCTAGACCTGACGCGCCTCAGGTGGCACCTACTGATCTCCCATATCACTGGGTGAATGGGTCACGGTGCCGGCACTCCCCGCTACCATTGTACATGTCTGAGAATAGAAAGGTCCGATTTCACTGTTTGTGTCCGGTTGAACTGGCTTTACCTATCGAGTGGGGCGCGCACTGGTGATTGAACGATACAACCCGCCGATACAACCCGCCGATACAGCCCGCCGATACAACCCGCCGATACAACCCGCCGACACAGCCCGCCGATACAACCCGCCGACACAGCCCGCCGATACAACCCGCCGATACAACCCGCCGATACAACCCGCCGATACAACCCACCGATACAACCCGCCGATACAACCCGCCGATACAACCCGCCGATACAACCCGCCGAAACAAAGCGCTGCGGTCAGAATCCATTTTTAAGAGGATCATGATAACCATCGAAGCAAACGGTCCATCGTTACCAAAATCCACTCAGAGTATGGCTATGTTTTATAATGCCCTGGTCACACCCGATAAACCTTTAAGTCACCGTAGTCATTCATTTCGCCGAATGAAACCAACAGAAGTAGGTGGATTCACAGCCAAGCAATTTACAAGCAATGCTAATTTTCAATAAGCGTTCGAGTCCTCCGCTTGTAAATATCCGCCTCATAAACACCCATGAAATACAGACTTCGAGTTCCGCTAGTCTTGGCTGCTGAAGGTATCTGGCTTTGGTGTCTTAGTTGTGTACGTTATGTACATGAAACGCTCGCCAATATGTGGCGAAATTCCTCAAAAATTGTTGCGTAACAAAACTTGCTGTAAACACATCTAGGTCACTTAACTTTACGTTGTTTGATGGGGTCCACACTTTGGGTAGTTTGTTTGGCCATTTAGTTATATGGATTAGAGCCGTTTCGGCCAGTGATGACCATTTCAGGGCTATGTCACGAAGGACAATGGGTAACAGTGGGGCAAGACTACATGCACCTGCGGACCCAACGGTCGGGACGTTGCCCGCACAGGGACCCCTCTGCGGGGCGTGCGTTTGGCACTCGGACGGGGACATCCACCATGAGGCACTTCGGCCCACCCGTGGCGTGCGCGTGCAGCCCGCCCCGGACAAGCGGGGTGTCGCGAGGACGCTGGATGAACCAAGAAAAAGGATAAGAGGACACATGCGGCGACAATTTTGCGACGTCTGACTCCGTCGTATCAAAATGGCTCGTGCTAGCTAAGCGCCGTCGATGCAGGACATCCAAGTCTGACGCCATGCTCGACTCCGCCTATGTGTGATCTGGACGGAGAGTGACGCTGGTGGAGCTCTCACTAATCCGATCCGGCGCCAGTACGGCCTTGGCCCGCGATGCGCGTGCTCCGGGATACTCCGCAGCTGGTGGCTGTGGCCGCCTCTGCCGCGCCGGGGATGTGTGCGTGAGCCGAGGGCCACGCCTGACGGGAGATGGCGCCAGCTCGCCTGAGCCGAGGGCTGCACCTGACGGGAGATGGCGCCGGCTCGCCTGAGCCGAGGGCTGCGTCTGACGGGAGATGGCGCCGGCTCGTCTGAGCCGAGGGCCACACCTGACGGGAGATGGCGTCGGCTCGCCTGAGCCGAGGGCTGCGTCTGACGGGAGATGGCGCCAGCTCGCCTGAGCCGAGGGCTGCGTCTGACGGCAGATGGCGCCGGCTCGCCTGAGCCGAGGGCCACGCCTGACGGGAGATGGCGCCGGCTCGTCTGAGCCGAGGGCTGCGTCTGACGGGAGATGGCGCTGGCTCGTCTGAGCCGAGGGCTGCACCTGACGGGAGATGGCGCCAGCTCGCCTGAGCCGAGGGCTGCACCTGACGGGAGATGGCGCTGGCTCGTCTGAGCCGAGGGCCACTCCTGACGGGAGATGGCGCCGGCTCGCCTGAGCCGAGGGCTGCGTCTGACGGGAGATGGCGTCGGCTCGCCTGAGCCGAGGGCCACACCTGACGGGAGATGGCGTCGGCTCGCCTGAGCCGAGGGCTGCGTCTGACGGGAGATGGCGCCAGCTCGCCTGAGCCGAGGCCTGCGCTGTTCGGGTGGGTCACGCCTGACGGGAGATGACGCCGGCTCGCCTGAGCCGAGGCCTGCGCTGTTCGGGTGGGTCACGCCTGACGGGAAATGACGCCGGCTCGCCTGAGCCGAGGGCTGCGTCTGACGGGAGATGGCGTCGGCTCGCCTGAGCGAGGGCCGCTGACGGGAGATGGCGTCGGTCGCCTGAGCCGAGGGCTGGTCGCGAGTGCGCTGCCCAGCTCGCTGTTCGGTGGGTCAGCGAGGGACGATGAGCGCTGCTGCGCCGAGCCTGCGCTCGGGTGGGTCACGCCTGACGGGAAATGACGCGGCTCGCCTGAGCCGAGGCCTGCGCTGTTCGGGTGGGTCACGCCTGACGGGAGATGACGCCGGCTCGCCTGAGCCGAGGCCTGCGCTGTTCGGGTGGGTCACGCCTGACGGGAGATGACGCCGGCTCGCCTGAGCCGAGGCCTGCGCTGTTCGGGTGGGTCACACCTGACGGGAATGGGGCGTCGCTCGCCTGCTTTTTAGGTTCCAAGCTTCCTCGCCGCAGACTCCAAGCTGCTTGCATTTGAAACATTGTTTTTCAGCATCAGGCGTTTTAATTTAGCAGCATCACCCCGATTGCTGGCGCTCCGCCGATCAGAACAAAGTTGAATTCTTGGCAGAGTCTAAAGTTCAATCAAGCTGCCGCGGTGTGCAACTGATTTTGAATTCTATATTCAACATGGCTGCCGATACCTCAAGGAGGTCGTCAACAAGGCACAAAATCGCAATTGTGTGATGTATGCTGGAATAAAAGCAACGTAGCGTAGGTGAAACAAACTCGCTTACGTCAGCACGATTTTGTAGTTTGCCATAAATGACACTGTGCTTTTCATTGCTCTCTGGCATTCCAGGTTTCGGAGACGCGTCCATAATGTCCGGCTCGCGCTGGTCGAGTCCCAGGGCGTTGATTGTGTGGGCCGTGTCCGTGCCGTCTAAAATGAACACGTCATGTGCGTTGCTCTAAAAATGGACATCTTGCCAGAAACGTCATGATGATGCTATGCCATCCAAACTCACCTCAAATAAAGCATTGTAACTAATGGGTGTGATTGGAAAGGTCAGCAAGGTAGCCCGTGTCTTCTCACTATGGAAAACGCTCAAATGATGTTTATGTGTGGGGTATGTATGACGGGGTAAAAATACTTCATTGAAAAGTGCGAGATGAAATAATTGATAGGTTATCTAAACTTCCAAATCAACGCCTGCTAAACTCGTGTCGCCTGACAAGCGTAGGTAACCGCAGTGGATGTCTCGGCGCTAAATAGAGTGCTGCTGAGTGCGTCAGGCGTTGCAGTCTCCAGCTATTCAGCGTATTGGACGGTCAGCTGATCGTTCAAACAAATCTGAAATCCCTCCTGCTGCGGAGGGCTGGCATTGCAGGCAGATGCTTGAACTTTGATCCAGCGCGCCCTCACCGAACTTCCTCGCCGATAACTTTGGACGCTGCCTCGGTGACGACCTTCGCCATCATGTCTACCGCTCGCGTGTGTAATGGGTAGTTTGGAACTTTCAGAGGCTTATCAGCTAACTCCGCTATCTGGCTATCGGGGAGTGCCGTCATCAAGGGTCGTACGACTGTTACCCCAAAGTCCAGCCTGTCCCAGTCCGTCCCACGTGGCAGGTATGCAGTGCTTGATGAATGCTGCGAGCTCTATCAGGGTGTCTGATGTCTGGCCAGAGGACATGCGGAGGTGCAATGCTGCGAGCTCTGTCAGGGTGTCTGATGTCTGGCCAGAGGACATGCGGAGGTGCAATGCTGCGAGCTCTATCAGGGTGTCTGATGTCTGGCCTGAGGACATGCGGAGGTGCAATGCTGCGAATGTCAGGGTTAGCCAGGACAGGCACGTCCACTTCCACGCGCCGTGGAATGACCTCTGAAACCTGATAACGAACAGCACGTCGTCAGATCCGAACACGCACCTCACGACTGGTGCACGGACGCCTCTCTGAGATTGGGTCCGTTGGTGCACAGTTGACACACGAATCAGTAAACCGTGTTTGTCGTGGCTTGAACGGGCGGCAATATCCGCCTTTTTGACCTCTGCTCGTCAATGTTGTCATCATCCGTGAACATCCTGGCACGGGATTTACTAATTATGCTCATGCCGACGTGAGAGGCACTTAGGACTGCCGCACATGCTGGGCTGGTGAAGGGCTTGTCATCTCCCGTGAGATGACTAATATCACGAAGAAAGGACTTCTGAGCACCAGACATGTCTGATTACTATGGGCAGGATGCGAACGGGTGAGAAGCGGCGGATGTTGCACGATGCAGCAGGTTCCGATCAAACTCACGCACATGTCTGGCCTTCGGTATCTTGCCTTAGCCGTCTGTCAGTTACCCGTAATTCACCAATACATTGTGCCTGAGACAGCTGGCAAGGACCGTGTGGATGTCGGAGAAACTCCGCTTAATGGCTGTAACTTGGCTCCGTTAAGGACTACGGCGGTGCGAAATATATGAACATGAAAATGGGGGAAAATGGTTCGGACATCGGTCAGAGTAAAAAATTTCGCAGAACAGCTCGCAAACTTTTCTCAGCACGGTCAGTAGGTGGCATGGGAACGTATCGCTCGCCTATTGATGAAATTGGGTGCGCCTTGGCAGTATTATTTTGCATTTTTTGTCTTCCCGGTTCAAAATAGCAAGATCCTATGAAGTTTGCACGTTTTTTTGTGATAACACAACAAGGTGCGTTGCGTTGCTTTAAGCACATCGACTTGAAACTGGGAACGCAAGGGCACAGCAATGTTTCATGCAGAGTTGATCTGTGACTATGAGCCTCAGAGAACGACATTCGGCGAGTGAACGTTCCCATACGGCTCCCATCTCCATAAAACCAACAAGGGCATAAAACCAACAGGGGTGCACATACGACAAACAAGGGAGTACATAAAACCACAAGGACGTATAAAACCGGCAACGAAACCAACAAGGCGTACTGGTGCAGTAAGCCGCAAGAATCGGTATGAGTGTCAAATCGCTCGGGAATCCGCCTGGCAGCGGTACGCTGGAAATGCTTATCGGTGTTACTGGCCCCATGCATGAAAGTGTGAATAACATTGCTTACTTCAATGACCCTTCCATTTGATAGCTTTTGCCTTCGACGCTGCCCATGTCTTTCCCGCAAGCGCTGTGTGAAAAAGCGCAGGGGGGGAGAGTGGAAGAGGTGCGTTCCAAGCAACACATAAACAAGGAATAGGCTCTGAATAATATTCAGAGGTAGCTTAAGGATTCGGTGGCATCAAAGCCAGATCCTGTGGACAACCATCCACTCCTAAGCAGCGCAGTTCCAAATCAACACATTATATTGAGCGACGTGCCTGAGGAGGCTACGGGTACGCTCTCTCCGCAGCGTACAGTTTTGAAACGCTGCCTGCTCCTGGCTGGCTGACGTTCTCTGGCCACATGCCAGCTGACTCTGGGCGCCGGTTCAGCCAAACAAAGCAAACGTTCCAGCAATCGAATACATTGCCGTTGAATTAGAAGAGCCCGACTGTTGTTACCTCGTCTGCGGTGGCAGTACGTTACTTCAGTGCGATGACCTAATGCCCGGTTGGAGGAGCCATCACTCATAACGGCGAGGTGAACATATGGCTCTGTCGCCGGTTGCTCCCGCTCCTCGACCTGTGACCTATGACCTGTATGCACCGACAGCCGATGGCGTCATGTACACCTTCGGCATATTCTACGTGGACATCAGCAGTCACTTCAAGGCCAGCAAAGCGGAGACTTCGTGGATCGCCTCTATTATGGTGGGCGTCACATTTGGTGCTGGTGAGTTCGGCCCGCGCGCGATGAAAGGCCTGCTAAGATTGGGAGGGCGAGAACGGTTCGGCTGTTCTTCCTGTCAACGTCCATGCGGCCAATGCTAAATTTTCCGGAAGTTGGGGTCTCAGCCCCTGCTCCTAAGCCCCTAGCTCCCGCACCCCTGGCTCGGCCCCACCCCGCTCCACCCATTGGCCGTTCAGACCCACTGACAGTTCCGACCCACTGGCGACTCCGACCCACTGATGCTCCAACCCAGCGACGACTCCGACCTACTGACGACTCCGACCCGCTGACGAATCCGACCCACTGACGACCCCGACCCATTGACGAACCCGACCCACTAACGACTCTGATTCACTGACGACTCCGACCCGCTGACGATTCCGACCCACTAACGGTCCGACCCACCGACGACTCCGACCCGCTGAGACTCCAACCCGCTGGGACTCCGACCCGCCGTGGACTCCGACCTACTGACGAATCTGACCCACTGATTCTCCGACTCACTGATGCTCCGACCCACTGACGACTGCAACCCACTGATACTCCAACCCACTGACAACTGCGACCCACTGACGACTCAGACCAACTGACGACCTTGACTCACTGATGCTTTGACCCACTGACGACACCGACCCGCGAATACTCCGATTCACTGACGACTCGTACTCACTGATGCTCCGACCCAATGATGGTTCCCACCCACTGACTGCTCCGGCCCACAGGTCGCTCCCACCCACTGACCACTCCGACCCACTGACCCCTCCAACCCAAGGGCCGCTTCGACCGACCGCTGCAATCCATGCTCCAATGTTATGTTAGTGCACCTAAGCCTACGGTTTCAAACGAAATGCATGCGATAGACACGCCAGAAAGCATAAACGAACGAATGTATGAGCGCGTGAGCTTGCCAAGGGATCTTTATATAAGTGCATCGTCCCCCTGAATGTCGATGCTGTCCACGTTAGAATGCCAACAACAGCTTGGGCTTGTGCAGTGGGCTATCATGACATACAATAGCATGTACTCAATGTTGGAGATTTCATGCCATCGATTTCAGTTCTGTCATGACCCATGTTGTACATGTTCAAACTTTCACTTTACGCTACGTCAGTCTGGCAACGTCTGAATTCGTAATGGCATGTGGAGTTTCCGGAGCGTGTAGTAACGTTTATGTCCATCACGCACGCGCTGCGGTGATACCACTAGTCTGAGCACTCGTGAACAGGACGGCTGCAGACCGGTCTGTGTTGAAGCCGGTTCTGTCCGTGCTGTGACAGGTCCGCTGGTCAGTGGCCTGGTGAACAGGACGGCTGCAGACCGGTCTGTGCCGACGCCGGTTCTGTTCGTGCTGTGACAGGTCCGCTGGTCAGTGGCCTGATGAACAGGACGGCTGCAGACCGGTCTGTGTTGACGCCGGTTCTGTCCGTGCTGTGACAGGTCCGCTGGTCAGTAGCCTGGTGAGCAGGTACGGCTGCAGGCCGGTCTGTGTTGATGCCGGTTCTGTCCCTGCTGTGGCAGGTCCGCTGGTCAGTGGCCTGGTGAACAGGTACGGCTGCAGGCCGGTCTGCATCGCCGGGGCCTTCACGGGCGCGTTTGGCTTTGTGCTGAGTACACTGGCCAAGAACGTCGAGACCATGTACGTCACCATCGGGCTCGTCCTAGGTGAGTTTCTGCATTACGTCACCATCGGGCTCATCCTCGGTGAGTGTCTGCATTACGTCACCATCTGGCTCATCCTCGGTGAGTGACTGCATTGCGTCACCATCGGGCTCATTATCGGTGAGTTTCTGCACTACGTCGCCATCAGACTCATCACTGGTGACTGTCCGCATTACGTAACCAATTGGCTCATGATCGGTGAGCGTCTGCATTACGCCACCATCGGGCTCATCCTCGGTGAGTGTCTGCATTACGTAAATATCAGGCTCATCATCGGTGAGTGTCTGCATTACGTCACCATCGGGCTCATCCTCGGTGAGTGTCTGCATTACGTAAATATCAGGCTCATCATCGGTGAGTGTCTGCATTACATCACCATCGGGCTCATCCTCGGTGAGTGTCTGCATTACGTAAATATCAGGCTCATCACCGGTGAGTGTCTGCATTACGTCACCATCTGGCTCATCCTCGGTGAGTGCCTGCATTGCGTCGCCATCAGGCTCATCATCGCTGAGTGTCTGTAGTATGTCATCATCTGGCTCATCATCGGTGAGTGTCTGCATCACGTCACCATCTGGCTCATCGCTGAGTGTCTGTAGTATGTCATCATCTGGCTCATCATCGCTCAGTGTCTGAAGTATGTCATCATTTGGCTCACCATCGCTGAGTGTCTGTAGGATGTCACCACCTGGCTCATCATCGCTGAGTGTCTGTAGGATGTCACCATCTGGCTTGTCCTCGGTGAGTGTCTGTAGTACGTCACCATCTGGTTCGTCCTCGGTGATTACTAGGCGGCAGATGCGGTATGAGCGGGTAGTTCTGTGCGATATTTGTCATTTCATCTTGGACTCAACGTTTTAATATGTCACAAGACATATCAATGATTTAAAATATGGATTCCCTTGACGACATGACTTTCTCGTGTTTTTAAACCGTCATCGACTATAATGTCTGCAATATCTGTAAAATCCAAGTTTGATCCCAGTTTCTACATTCTAATTGGTCGGGTCCAAAGTGCCAGCTGCTCACTGTTTGCGTTCATGGACGAATCGTTTGGTAAGACCGGCCTGCATGGAAAGCCCAGCTGGCAACAGACCAGAGGATCGACCTGGCGCACGACGACCGCTTCATAGTATTGTACGGCACCAACACGGCCTGCCGCGGTCCTGTCTGAGTGTGACAGACGGCAGGCAAGGTATCCGACGGGCCTGAGCAACATCACTTCAGTGATGGATTCAGAGTTTATACAAGAACCCCTGCTGGGCAAATACGTTGCATTAAAAAGCAATCGAGCAAACCATCCTGAATAAACAAATATAAATCAAAAGTCGCTGGTTGGAGCGAATGGTCTTGTTAGCACGAATGTTGTGCTAGAAAGTCAGGGTGTGGCCCTCAGTGAAGGCCATTTCTAGCGAATCGTTCAAAAGGATTTGACTACGTAGTGTTAGACGAGGCCATGCATCTCTGAGACAGTCTCATAGGCAATAAACCAACTTGATTAAGAATTTAAACAAATTCGATCGATCCAGGGTCGGGTATGAGGTCGGACAGAGGTCAAAACTATCCTGCTTTTAAATCCAAGATCTTGCTTTGAGGGTAGTTTCTGACGCGCATTTGGAATTTTTAATGACGGGGACAGCAACAGACATGCTCCACGAGCTTTTAGGAGTAGGTCACCAACGTAAAACGACCGACGTCAACATTTTTTTGTTGTTGCGAACATACCTCCTAGCGTAATCCCTGACGCCTAGTTGAATAACAAAATAGGAGCAATCTCGTAGGTTTTTGGTCGTCTTGACCTTCTTAGGGTCAGACAAGGCCACTGATCCGAAATTGACACTGTTGTAATGCTTTTTGCTTAGAACATGTCGATAGGTTCCCGGCGGTTGCACGAGGAGCAGGCGGGGGCACGTCAGACAGGGGTAAAAAAAGTACCAACCGTCTTCATTGTCACATGGGGATAAATCTTTCAGAAACCGTCGCAATATATCTAAACATGATACACCGCACAAAATAAATGCAAATTGAATGCAATGGAGCATAATCATCAAACATTGTCGTTCCGGGAATTCATTTGCACTAAAGTTTCATTTACTGGCCATCAAACGCTGAATGATGGTTGAGACTGAAGTAATAGAATCGTCAACTAAAGGCATACTTACATAACTACCCTAAGCTTCATTTCTTGTGATTTTGAGGCTCAGCCCCCCCCCAAAAAAAAACTAATTTTGAGAAACTACACCCCTGCTCCCAACTATAAAAAGCAAGCATGTCAAAGCTGGGGAGAAAACTGTGCCAAGTACATTCCGGAGGCGGGATTAGCCATTTTTTCTTCCTGCACACCTACCTAATAAGATTATTAGGTAAAGGTATACTTAATATAGCCAGCCTAAAGACGTGTAGTTTTCCATCCAGTCGGAGGGGATGAGCCGCTAACGGCCGAGCGACAGGACCCTGGTCTACGCCGCGCTTCTCCCGGAACCTGTGTGTGTCGCTGGCGCAGGCTCGACACCGACACTATCTGCTGTGCCGTGTTCGATATTGGCGCTATCGCCTTCTGAAGGGGGTAGTCTGGTCCGACTGTCAGCTGACCGAGGCACGGCCGCCCGCGCTGTGTCTGACGGCGGCGGGAGGTGAACTCCCCGGGGCACAGCCGTCCGTGCTGTGTCTGACGGCGGTGGGAGGTGGACTCCCCGGGTACAGCCGCGCGTGCTGTGTCTGACGGCGGCGTGAGGTGGACTCCCCGGGTACAGCCGCCGCGCTGTGTCTGACGGCGGTGGGAGGTGGACTCCCCGGGGTACAGCCGCCCGCGCTGTGTCTGACGGCGGTGGGAGGTGGACTCCCCGGGGTACAGCCGCCCGCGCTGTGTCTGACGGCGGTGGGAGGTGGACTCCCCGGGGCACGCCCGTCTGTGCTGTGTCTGACGGCGGTGGGAGGTAGACTCCCCGGGGCACGCCCGTCTGTGCTGTGTCTGACGGCGGTGGGAGGTGACTCCCCGGGGCACGGCCGTCCGTGCTGTGTCTGACGGCGGTGGGAGGTGGACTCCCCGGGGCACGCCCGTCCGTGCTGTGTCTGACGGCGGTGGGAGGTGGACTCCCCGGGGCACGCCCGTCCGTGCTGTGTCTGACGGCGGTGGGAGGTGGACTCCCCGGGGCACGGCCGTCCGTGCTGTGTCTGACGGCGGTGGGAGGTAGACTCCCCGGGGCACGCCCGTCCGTGCTGTGTCTGACGGCGGTGGGAGGTGGACTCCCCGGGGCACGCCCGTCCGTGCTGTGTCTGACGGCGGTGGGAGGTGGACTCCCCGGGGCACGCCGTCCGTGCTGTGTCTGACGGCGGTGGGAGGTGGACTCCCCGGGGCACGTCCGTGCTGTGTCCTGGGGCACTCCTGCCGCCGGCCGACCGCCCGGCGCCGATTGGGATCCGTGCCAGTCAGCGAACACTGCTGCTTTCTTGTGGCCGAGATGTCCCATCTCTGCACAAGTGGTCTAATGATTTTATCCATAGCCAGGAATAATTTTTATCTACCAAACCAGGTCATATTTGTTCGAAATACAAGGTCACACAAGATCACTCAAAATGCAAATTTTGTGAACAAACTGCGCTATCGACTCCGCACGCTCGTATGACTTCAAAACGTTGGCATGCTATCATTGTTTTTTTTTGGGGGGGGGCATTCGTATCGGCGAACGAGAAGCCACAGTCGCGAGTAATAATATACCCACAACGAACTGCTGAACATTGCATGCGAAATAACTTACGGTGCCTGTGATTATTTTCCATGCGGGTCGGGCAGTTACGTGATAAGACAGCATGTACCGGCCCGTGCCTGCCTGTCAGTGCCGTGGTAGACACCAACCTACACCTGGTGTCTACCAGGCGCGGCTGCAAGCTGACTCTGTTTCCTGACAGGCGCATGATCACACAGTCGGGCTCGAAATAGTGTTTGGCAAGGCAGTATTTTGTGAACTGTGAGTGTTCACCCTACACCATTACGACCGCCGATACCAAACTTGTAGAAATCGGTTCACAAGCCAAGGTCGATTGATTTAGGTTCTCGGGCGTTCTTACTCATGCATCATTTGCCATTTCGACAGATATATTTCATTATTTGATGTCCCTTACCGACAGAGCACGGCTACGGTCATATTCCCGCCAAGTCGAGTGGATACTGTGCAACGACAACGGACTGCATAAATGCTCAATCCTCCTTGGTCTTGATAGCGGTTTGTGCATTCACCCTGGTGTCCTCGACATGCTGTCTACCCGCTCTGGCACGACTAACGTTCGTTACGGTGAATGATGAATGTTTTCCAGGCATCGGCCTGGGCCTGATATACCTCCCAGCCATCGTCAGTGTGACCTGTTACTTCGAGAAGAAGCGCTCCTTCGCGACAGGCATCGCCGTGTGCGGCTCCGGACTCGGTAGGTGACGCTCGATGTCTTGTGCGTTGATGAGGGACTGGGGCTGCCTGTGCCTGCCATGACCAGAGGATGGAGTCCTGCGCGTAATGTGGTGGCGAAGAGTGACTGGGCTATCTGTGCCTGTGATGTCCAGAGGACGAAGGCCTGTGCCTGCGATGTCCAGAGGATGGTGTCATGTGCGGGGGATGACCAGAGGATGGAGACCTGTACGTATTGTGGCGGTGAAGGGAGACTGGGGCTGCCTGCTGCCTGCGATGTCCGGAGGATGGTGTCATGTGCGGGGAATGACCAGAGGATGGAGACCTGTACGTATTGTGGCGGTGAAGGGAGACTGGGACTCTGTGTGTGCGCAGTGACGGGTACCTGAAGCTCTGGAGTGCACTGATGGGATTGGGACCCTATTGCAGGCGGGGGGGGGGGGGGGGGATTTTGGGCATGGGGCATTTGGGGCATGGGATTTTTGGGCATAGTGATGCCTCTAAACGGGGCTCCATGGCTATATGGGCAGGAGACTGAGTCCCGAGGCTGGAGTGACCGGGTGTAGTGATATGGTGGTGACAGTGGTATATGACCGGGTGTAGTAGCCCTGTGGGTGTAGTGACGACGGACTGGGGCCCCATCGATAAGGTAACGGTAGACTGGGCACTGTGGACTGAGTGACGGTGCCTGGAGCCCCGTGGGTATGTTGACTGGAGGCTAGGGCTATGTGGCTATGATGATGGAGGACTGGAGCCCTTTGGACATAGGTGATGATATTTGGGAATAGGGAAGCGTCGGCTGCCTTGGTCGTTTTCCTCCCGTGGGTACAGTGAAGGCGGACTGGGTCCCTGCGAGTATAATGACGGGGGACTGAGGATTTTTGGCTATGATGATGGATGACTGGGGCTCTGTGGGCAGATGAGGAAATTGGGGCTTTGTGGATGTAGTGTCGCGAGACCCCGCTCTGTAAGTATAGTGACGGTAGGCTGAGGTCTATAGGTGCAATGACGAGAGACTGCGAGAAAACTGGGCGCTGACAGGGGATTGGGCGCTGAGGTGAGGGCCGGGGAGGCTGGGCTTCGTGGACGCTGACAGGGGATTGGGCGCTGAGATCAGGGCCGGGGAGACTGGACTTCGTGGGCGCTGACAGGGGATTGGGCGCTGAGGTGAGGGCCGGGGAGACTGGACTTCGTGGGCGCTGACAGGGGATTGGGCGCTGAGGTGAGGGCCCGGGAGACTGGACTTCGTGGGCGATGGCGGGTGGGCGATATTCTGTGCGCTCTATGGGTGACTCACAAGTATTCGGTGAACAACGACAGGGGTACTGGGGTGCTCGGCAGGACGCGTGTTGGCCAGCTCTGCCGATGTGTTTGCTGCCAGTCGACTCGGTCCGGCACCATAATAAGCAGATAGTAGTGATTCATATGGCCTGCTGCCGATGAGTCATGACACGTCCAGCTCTCTAGCGGGACAGGGGCATCGCCGGCCGGCCGGCATTTGAGCAGCGGCCGCTTTGATTACGAGTTTCCGAGCACTGGCTGACCTAGTCGTGCTAGGAACTCTTGCTGGCGGGGCTCGGAGGCGATGGGCCGCTGCAGGCGGCTCCTGCCGGCGTTCGCGACGCCAGCCTGGCCCTCAGCGTGCGCTTCCGTCGTGGCGTGGCCGGTCGGCTGTGCGCCCAAGTCGCAGGTCCGGTCGGTCGATGGCCACCGGCCAGCAACCCGCCTGGCGTGTTGTCCAGTCCCGTCAGTCGACGCGCTCACCACGGCCAGAGTACGGCTAGGAAAACAGAGAAAAAGTAATGATCCGAGGCACAAGCCCTGAAAATGCCCTGGTTGGTGACTCGAACTGTCGACGCCTGACGTGCCTTGGAGGAAATGATAAAGCAAACACTTTGGGTATGACCTTGACAGTAACGTTTAACTAGCTCGAATCGATACAGGGCTGTAGTTGTACTGTAGCTGCAGCTCGAGCTGAAGTTTTTTGGAGGCCTTGCATTGTCTTTTGCATGGAAGCACTAAATTAAGTCAATCAGCCAAAGTGGGGAAAGTTTACCCTGGTCCATGGGTGACAAAATGTGACCAGACCGCACAGAACAGCAGTTGCAGTCGAACGAGCTGGCCCGCAATCGTGTTGAATGGGGACGAGTAGATGATTTAGAAACAGAAAGCCGTAAAGTTGTCGTTACACAATTTGTTCGAGTATTTTAGCAATGATTGGCAGCGTGTAGTGGGATCAGTAATTGAATGGGCCCGCCAGACGATTGGATGCAGCAGCGCATGACAGTCAGAGGAGCAGTCTTGTTCGGTGTACCTCTTGCCCGCTGGTGTTGCTTCGCTATCCTGGCCCTCGACGTCCTTGGGAAAATGACTTCCTGAGGCTGGAAACATCACGTTCTTCTGTTCCTAAAATGCTTACCTAAGGCTGCAAGCATCAGGTCCTTCTGTTCCTCATTGTCACCCTATTCACTGCGTTCCTCATTGCCGACGCCATTCCCATGTTGTTACATATAACGCACACATAAGGACGTCACCGTCACTTTGGAGCACAGTCTTCGTGTGGCGGAATTATCTATGCCATCCTTCTTACAGCCTCAGGCAAATGTTTTTTCATTGATGAACTGGACTTTGATAACGAAATAAAAGTGATGGACGCATCGAACAGGACTCCTCTTGCAGCCAAGAGATGGCAGCCTGTCCACGTTTCAGGCCACCCTGGGTCCTGTTTTACGGTACCAGTTGGAACGCAACCAGCTCTTCTCAGGTGCTTTCGATTAGCTAATTCACAAAAAATGGTGTACCCTAGCTGGTGTTGCTCTAACTCAAGAAATCCCTTCAAAGGGAGTGATCCACAATTATATGGGGTTTGAAAATGAGATAGCCATTTTGAAGACCTTTCGGTGCTGTTCACAATTCTGTCCTTAAGACGTAAGCCCCTCTTGTTTCTGAGCTACGCGCCTGCGAAAATGAGGAATAGTATATCGGGTACATTATTTCAAAGCCGCTTTGTCATTCATGACGCCATAATAACGTCATTCAAATCCTGCCTTTCCATAAGCCATGCGGCGATCGAGGCAAATACATATATCATGGTCCAAGGGCTCATATCTGTTGTTTGTGAGCGTAAATTCCAGATATAACGGCCGTTAAGTGGCTCTCAATCAATGTTGTGCAAGAACCGATGGCGTAATCAAACCATGACGCACTGAGGAGCATATTTACTGAACAGAGAATTGTGATGTTCAGAGCTGTCTTTTTCACTTCAAAATTACACCAATAGTTATAGGTGAGCTTGTTTTATCGTACATGATATCTGTTTTGATATCTTCAGATGTGGAACATTCTCTTAAAGCTTAACATTGACGAAAGGGGATAGGACAGCATCCGTCCCGTTACATTTAAACAAGAAACAGCCCTGCGACAGTTTGCACTAGCTGCCCGATGCTTTCAGCTCTGACAACCTTCCTTGACCTTGACTTGCATCTGTACTTTGTGACCTATTTTTTTAGAGACAATGGGGAACTCGAATTTACTATGTTGGTGGGGATTGCCACTCACGGTTTGCATCACTAACATCAAGCCAGTATGGCAAAATGAAACGAGCGATTACCGACTGCAGATGTCGTCGACCGGCGCGGACAGAAACATTCGCACAGCGCATGTTTGTCCCACTTGCTTTCCTGTGTCAGCAGTGGTCGTGCCGTGACAGTGGATGTCGCTCCTGCCTGTCTGTGTCAGCGGTGGTTGTGCTGTGGCGGTGGATGTCGCCCCTGCCTGTCTGTGTCACCGTTGGTTGTGCTGTGGCGGTGGATGTCGCCCCTGCCTGTCTGTGTCACCGGTGGCCGTGCCGGCTGACCACCGCGGCAGTGGCCCCGCGACCTGCCCACCCAGCGCACCGGCATGACCCGCGACGGACGTGGCGAACCGGCAGCGGCTCAAGGATAGGGAACTCGTGTCCGCCGCGATAATCCGGTATCTTACACTCCTCTGAAAAACCGTGTCAATAGACGGGCCGATAGCGCCCTATATCGGCGCTCTCCGGCCCCTGCAACGGGGTGGCGCGCAACCGCAGGCGGTGTCAGCTGACCCCCCAGCCACCCAGGCACCGACAGGCACCTTGGTAACAGCTGTTCCTTGATGGGGTAATGGGCATAAGTGGTACTACATATCGGCCCAGCACCGACTGGCCGGGCCACCAAGGCCGCTGCCATAGTCAGAACGGAGAGAGCGAAGCAGCCCGCCTGACTGTTCCAGTCACGTGACCTGTCATTCGTGCAGTAATGGACCGCACGCGGCAACCATGCACGACGGCACGGGCGTCCACACTGTTGGTAGACGTGGATGCATTGGCTTGAACCTAAGACTTAAGTTGAGAGCTAGGGTGACATTAAACTTGACTGCATCCTTCACTTTGCAACGCATCTTTGTTCGTCTTTTTGGGAGGTTGGGTGAGACACTGTGCGTTCGGTGAGGTGCTGTATTTGGTATTTGAGTTTGCATCTGCCCAGGGACTATATAGAGCTAAATAAACCCGATGCTTCTGCCTGTTTGAATTTTTAAACGTCCCCTTATCCGGCGTTGTGGTGCCTCCTCATGTGGCTGGAGGCCCCCCTGACTTTGTGTTTTGCCACGCATCCATTTAGAGGGTGGAGCGCCGCATCTGACGCCGACGGCGCTTCCCCAGCTCCAGTTATAGGCGCCCTCTGGCTGCATTTAGAGGTGCATCTCTGCTGGGGATCGTGGGCACCCGCAGTTGGGCCTTGGGATCCCATCTACGGGTAGACTAGGCCCCCCGTTTGTGTCGGGTTGTGACGCTCCTCTATACGCATTTTGGGCAGCCTCCCCTAGGATGAAACGGCACCGCTCTACTTGGGCTTGGGGCTCGCTTCATTACATGCGCCCTGAACTTCCCCTTCCCCTGCTGGATCACTGGGATACTCTCCTGCGAAAGTCAGAGGTACCAGAGGTACTCTTAGTAGTCAGAGGTACCAGAGGTACTCTTAGTAGTCAGAGGTACCAGAG